CTCCTTTGGGAACATAAAGTTGCTTTCCTTTCACTTTTAGAAAACCATCTTCCATGTAGAATTGGTGAGTCTTGCCCTGTCCTACCAAATCAACCAAATATTGTGCATCAGGATCCTTGATGAGTAAATCCTGTATCTGGTCCTTGATGGAGGTGGCTAATTCGCTCCCCCTTAGGGTGGCGAGTAGGCACAGCGATGCTAGATCACCTCTACGACTGAGTCCATCAGCAACATGATTGGTCTTCCCACTTCGATACTCTAGGTTGAAGTGGAATTCAGATAAGAGTTCCTACCACCTGGCCTGTCGACCATTCAACTTCAGTTGGGTCATGAAATGGCTAACAGCTGTGTTGTCTGTCTTGACCACAAACGGGGTCCCTAGCCGATAGTGCCTCCAGAGGCGCAAGCAGTGGATGACAGCCAATAATTCTTTCTCATGACCGGCATAGCGCCGCTCTGCATCTTTCAGTTTCCGACTCTCGTACGCTATAGGATATCCTTTTTGTAGCAAGACTACACTGAGGGCATAGTCAGATGCATCTATTTGTACTTCGAATGGCTTGGCCAGATCAGGAAGGGCCAAGACGGGGCTACTAGACATAGCCGGTTTCAATACGTTGAAAGCCTCCGCTCGCTTGGGTCCCCATTCCTAAGGCGTGACCTTCTTGAGGAGTTCTGTCAATGTACTGCAATGAGGGAGTAGTTTTTCACGAATCGCCGATAGAAAATGCATAGACCAAGGAACGCCCTCAAGGCATGGATATCCTTAGTAGTTTGTGATTGCCTGAATCTTCTGCTGGTCCATCTTGGTCCGCCTTTCCTCGATGACATGTCCGAGGAAGTCAACTTGCTTTTGAGCAAAGGAGCACTTAGATAGATTCACATATAGTTCATGCTCCCGCAATCGAGTTAGGACCTTCCGCAAGTGCATCAGGTGTTCCTCCAATCTTTGGCTATATACCACAATGTCATCCAAGTAGACCACCACGAATTCATCAATGTACTCTCGGAAGACTTGGTTCATCAAAGTGCAAAACGTAGCCGGGGCGTTAGTCAAGCCGAATGGCATAACCAGGAAATCGTACGACCCATATCTTGTCACCCAGGTCGTCTTGTGCTCATTACCCTCTGCAATCCGAACTTTCCAATAACCTGTCTTCAGGTCTATTTTTGTGAACACTGTCGCACCTCCCAGTCTATCTAACAAGTCTGCCATTAGCGGAATAGGGTACTAGTTCTTCACAGTAATTTTGTTTAGAGCCCGATAGTACACACAGAGTCGTAGACTGCCATCATATTTCTTTTGGAATAGCACAGGGGACCCGTATGGGGATTTGGAGAGAACGATGATCCCTGTGTCTAGCATTTCCATCAATTGTCCCAGAAACTCAGTGAGTTTGGGTTGTGACATTCTGTAAGGTGACCGGGCGGGTGGCTTCGCACCCGGCACCAGCTCAATTTCATGGTCCACAGTGTGCCTAGGCGGTAGTCTCTTTGGCATGTCTTTTTGCATGACATCTTCAAACTCTAGTAGTAGCTCCTTCACGGGCTCAGGAATGGGACCCGAGGAGCGTTCTACATCTTCAGTTCAGAGGGTTTCCAGGAACGTAGGTTCATGTCTTTTGACCCCCTTCTTCAACTACAAGGCCGAGATGTTTTCCACGGCCATCTTCATAGGAATACACGGGATAATTCAGGGCTTGGTCCCATTTGCTCCTATCATTAGTAACATGTCAGCATATGGTATAGGCATGGTGTTAGTTTGCCTCAGGAATTCCAATCCAACTATCAACTCGAAGTCATCTATGATCACCACGCGCAGGTTGAATTTTCCTTCGTAAGGGCCAAGCTTCACTGGTACTTCTTTAGCTATCCCACCACTAGCTAAGGAGGTGAGTTGATAGCCTTGACACTACCTCTGCCCTTTTCGACAACTAGACCAAGGCGCTCCACCAGAGTCGAGGCTAAGTAGTTATGGGCAGCACCCGTGTCTATCATTGCCCGAATGGGCTTACCATTTACATTCATCTCAACGAACATTAAGGTCCTCTCTTGTTTAGGAGGATTCTTCTTCTCCGCCTTATTTTTCCCTTTCTTGGTGCTTGGGCAGGAGTCCTTCTTCTTGTGGATGCCAGCACTCGTTCCCGCTAAGGCCTCAGAAATAGAGCTAACAATTGCATTGAAGGCACCTACTGGCTCGGTCTGGTCTGCATCATATGTGTCATCATCTTTCCTATCATCAAAGGCTCGATGGGCATTCATCTGTGCATGTGGACACTCATTATTCCAATGTGGTCTGCCGCAATGACGGTATCTCAAAGGAGGCTTTCTCCCCCGGTCATTGTTGTTTGATGCAACATTATTGCTACCTGAGGAGGGAGCCTTAGATTTGGTTGCACTCTGATCTCCCCCACTTCTGCTAGAGCCACTATTGCTAGGTTGGCCCCCTTTGAATCCCGCTCGGACAGGCGGCTGAGGCCGATCCTTCCGAACTTCCACTTGATAGTCCCCAAGGCATTCAGCTACTTGGATCGCCTTGGGTAGTGTATCTACCCTTTGTCTTTGAAGTTCCATGCGGGCATAAGGTTTCAACCCTTCTAGGAAGGTGAAGAGCTTGTATTTGTCCCCCATGTCACGTATGTTTAGCATGAGCGCGGAGAATTCCCACACGTAGTCTCGCATTGACTTGGTCTGGCGGATCTCCCGTAACTTCCTCCTTGCATTGTATTCCACATTTTCGGGGAAGAACTGTAGGCGTATGACTGCCTTTAGTTCTGCCCATGTCTCGAGAGCATCTTCACCGGCCTTGATGGCTTCGTACTTCACCCGCCACCAGAGTTTAGCATCACCCTGAAGATATATGATAGCAGTTGCTACCTTCTTAGCTTCTTCTAGGCCTCCAATAGCATCAAAGTATTGTTCAATGTCAAAGATGAAGTTTTCCACTTCTTTGTCATTCCTAGCTCCACTGTATGTCTTTGGCTCAGGAATTTTTAGTTTTTATGTCGAGGAAGCGGGGTTCGTAGCGCCCCCAATTTGGTTTCCACCGCCTTGAAGAAGGCCCTGTAAAGCAACATTGACAACATTGAGTTTGTCTGTCAAGTCATCAATAGTTTGTTACATGACAATCACCTTGTCTGCCTCTTGTGCCCTATAAGCTAAATACTCGGCACGCTCCTATTGGAGTCCCTCGAATTTGCCAAAAATTTCAACTGCCTCTGTGGCTGCCATTTGCCGGTCTCCCTCGGAGTCGCGACTGATGTTTTCTATGTCAACTTCGACCTAGAGCACCCTATGGTCCAGGTCGTCCAACATTTTCCCTAGGCTAGTTCTTAGTTCAGGCACCGTATCCACAATGGGTCGTAATACGTAAACCGTCTGTTCAAGGGCCCCAATGCGGCCCCCATGATTCACCATGGTCAGAAATGGTGGTAATGGCAATGCGTTCCCTCATCCGATGTCAAGCCTAGGCTCTGATACCAACTGTTACGCGGTGCCTTCCTGAGATTCCTTGGATGGGCGACATAAGGCTAAGCAACTGATGTTAGTGTAGTTACTATCCGCCAACTGAAGTCCCCTCCGTACGCTAGACTAGATTGTCAGTGCCGTACAGGAAATCCAATGTCAAGAGCAATTGAGAGAACAGAAATGAGGATTGAGAATGAAAGAAAGCTTGATTGCATTAATTAAAGCTATTATAGAAAGGCAACGCGGTGTCGAGGGGGAGAGACACCAGTACAGAGAATTGTTTGCTTCCTAGAAAGTTTGATTGCTTGATCCTCCCTAATAATATTTAAAAAAAATAAACCAAAGCTACAAGACTAGACTTGATTAAGCTAGAGAAACATAATGGAAGTACATGGAATAAAACTACTCTATATTTACAATGAAAAAGACTTAGTTTTCTACAAGGCAAAAATAGGTCCGTTGTCAGCAGTATAGTCTTTGGCATCAGGGTCTGCGTGTGCGGCGTTGTCTGCGCGTGCGGTGCTGTTGGCATCCACCTGCGGTTGGGCGCTGGCGAGGGATATCGGTGGGGCAATAGAGGCACATGCGCGATTGTCACTTAGCGCGGCCAAGACCACGGGGTCGTCCGTGGCGCTAGGCATTGGAAGGCTTGCTAGGACGCCACGGGGCGCGCCCAAGGGGTCATGGGGCATGGCTATAAATATGCCCATGACACTAAGAATGCTGTAATCTGCTCCCTCCCCTACTAAATTAATATTTTCCCTTATGTATACACTTTGTCAGTCACTTGTTGTGTGATTCGCTGACATATGAATCCCAAACCCCTATGTCCCCCTATGTGTTTGTGTTCTTTGGCTGGTTTGTGAGCATGCTAGCATCATATATTGTTGTACATGACCAAACCTGTCTCTTTCTAGGGTCATATGATTCGTTCAATGTAATCCCAAAACCCCTGACCGCTTTGTGTAATTGCTGATTCTGTGTAGTTTGAGTTTTATTACTACTGTTCTCAAATCACACTTACCACTTACTATTTTCAACCCAATTTTAAATAAATCTCTATGTTCTGCACTTCCACTATATTCTTAGAACCTAGGTTCTACCCCTCTTGTGTGAGCCTTGCTTTGGGACCCTTGAGCTCCCTATGAACTTGGACACATAAGGGTTGGCCCTTCCACACTGCACTCATCTCTATTTGGTTATGCAAACCTGGGTGTAAGCACTGCCCGGGGTCCTTTGAGACCTTTAGGGAACTTTGACACACCCAGGTCTGAGAAAGGATTTGAAACAAGTGGCATTTGAGGTGGTTTATTCCATAAGTCAGAGAGGAAGTCAGAATCAGGCTTCCTATGGTTGTAACTTCTTATTTTACATTTTTCTGATGTAATTGAGTATTTGGTCTGTAATTTTGAAACAAATATTGGGGTTGGCTAGTGAAAAGGGATGGGGTAATTATGCATGTTTTAGATATTAGAAGGGTAGAGAACATGCCTATAGGATATGTTCTATTCTAACTAAAGTTCTGCATGCTTCCACACTTAGACACCATACCTATAGGATCTGCTCTATGTTCATTCAAGTTCTGCACGCTTTACTTTCAAACAAATAGAGATCATGCCCATAGGATTAAACTTCATTTTAATAGAAATCATGCCAATAGGAATTTCGCTTTAATCAAATAAATCCTGCCTACTTCACCGCATGTTCAATTAGATACCATGTTTATAGGATCAAAATCAGCCTTTAATACTTAGATACCATGTCTGTAGGAATTAAAATCAGCTATAATAGAGATCATGTCTATAGGATCTAAAACCAGTTTAGTTAAAAATTAGGTTGATTCGCACTGTTCTGAATTAGTTTAAGCAACCTACTCCTTTTATTAATACGGTTTAGAAAGCATGCCTAGAGGATCCAAATCCCATGTTTTGAAATTAACAATTGTTCTGTTGCTTTCTTAATTAGTAATAGATATCATGCTTGTAGGACATCACCAATACACACTTAGGCAAGCCTTAGGTAATTGCTTGATAAAACTGAACTAGCCTTTTTTTAATTAGCACTGCTACAACCAGTAGGCAGGCCTGATTCGGACTTCTTATTTGAGTTATGTAATAAATTGGTCTGCTTCAACAATTTAGGCACCCTGCCTTAGTACCTTTAAATTCTGAACCTAAATGTGTTTAAGTCATGCTATTTATGTGCTTTATTTGATAAGGTATATATGAGCCTCTTAGTTGTTTATATGTTTCCCCTAATATGCAGTCCTACGTGTTTTGTATGTCGCCTTAGTCTTTTTACCTTTAAAAACCAAGAGTCAGCCTAAAATCCTCCCTCTTATTGGAATAGTAGTCCTAAATCCCCCCAGGACTGATAGGAATGGGTCGTGTAATAGCATGCAATAGAGGTCGAGACCAATCCGCGCTTTAATACCTTAACGTGGTGAGAAAGGGTAGATATGGATATGATGGCCGGTGCACTAATACCACGTGTATCCTCTCTTTTGAGAAGGGTCATATAAGGTATCGCATTGATGTGATCCATAATATAAATAAACCTAGGACCCCCCTCATTTTTATTCTCAAGTATTTGTAGAACGGTAACTCCTTTACAAAATTCGCCTATTAATAATTGTTTTTTTAAACTCTTATGTGTTCAAACTTAAATCCCCTATTATTTTAGCCTATATTTGTCTATCTGCTAATTGTACAAAATTCACAAAAACTGTCTGGCCGGGAACCATAGTGGTTCCTGAGTGGTGCCTAACACCTTCCCCTTATGATAATTTCAAGCCCTTACCCTATATTTGGTTATTAACAAACTTATAAATGAACCTTATAGGTGTCCTAATGCACCTTAAATCATTAGGTGGCGACTCTTCAAATGCAAACCCAATTCCCAAAAGGAATGAGTTGTTCCATACCCAAAATGTCATAAACCCGATTTTCCGATGCAAAGAGGGAAAAAGGGGGCGCGACAATAACGCCATCTGATCATGGGTCAATGTACAATGCAGTGCATGAAAAGTACATTAATAAAATCTTGTGAAATGTCATAAGAATATTTTGCCTTTGAGTAATATTATAAAGTAAACTATTTTCAACTTTCGTATTTTTTTGAGATCAATGAACAGATGATAGAATATTATGACACATGGAAATTCAAGAACATATATGTCTCTAATACTTCCATTAATATAGTCTTTTATGGAATATGTGCATTTTCTCATTTCTCGTTTCGTTTGTGTCATTTATAGATCATGCCATAAGAAAGAAGGGATAGCCTTAACATACCTTGTCGTCAACATATATTTATTAGGGATAGTGACATTAGTGTTTGGGACGGGACTGTATGCACTCTTCATTAGAAACCTCGACAAAGAAAAATCCATGTCAACTCCATATAGATCAAATCTCTTTGGCATGTTTATTCTAAAGGTTTTGNATCATTAGAAACCTCGACAAAGAAAAATCCATGTCAACTCCATATAGATCAAATCTCTTTGGCATGTTTATTCTAAAGGTTTTTTGTTGTAGTATCTTCTTATCGCTTTTATGATCATGAACAAAGTCTTAAATGAACTTCTCCATA